AAAATTCTGTTTTCACTTTGTCATTATGGGGTCCTGAGTGTAGATTAATGAGAAAAAAAAAGAATTTGAACGATTGTAATATCAGGCTGCAACATAACGAAATTGAAAAAAGTGAAGGGGGTCTGATTACTTTCCGAATGCACTGTATTTGGACTCCTCCACCTCTCCTGAAATCTTGCCACCCTGATGCCAAAACCTTTACCACCATCACTTCTTCCTTTCCCCGGCCTCTTTCTCTCTCTTCCTGCCTTTTTGGGTGGCTCCTGCTGCTGTTGGTGCCTGGGCCAGCCCAGCTCTGGATCTCCTGCGCCTGCCCTGAGACAGAGCCCCCTGGGCCGCTGTGCCTGCAGAAAGGCAGGTGCACGCAGGCAAGGAGACCCTCAGCACAGAGCTCTCTCTCTCTCTCTCTCTCACTTATTGCTCACTCCTTGGCTTACGCTTTGCTCGCCTCCCTGCTTGCATGCGTGTGTACAATCCCCACCCTTGCCCAGGGTCTGCGCACACTCTGGCAGGCCAACCCAGTATTGGAGGTTGGAGGGGTTTTATTCAGTTTTTGTCTTTGCTTTTTTAAAATAAAACATGATCTCCTAGGGAACCCCTAGTGACCTCTCGTGGAACCCTAAGGTTCCACAGAACCCCCGTTGAGTGACCTCTCGTGGAACCCTAAGGTTCCACAGAACCCCCGTTGAGAAACCCTGATGTAGAGTCTAAGTTATTACAAGTTTGATTTAGGACAGTGATGGTGAACCTTTCGGGCTTGGCATATCAAAAATTTGGAAAATGGCTAACTTGACTCTGCTGGTGTGTCACACTCCCCCCCCCGAACAAAAGAGAGACAATTATTTACTTAAATTCATTTTAATTTTAAAAAATACAATTCAATCATGTGTAGTGCTATGTATTATATAAAGAAACGTCAAATAATTACAAAAATGAAATACAAGTAAAACCAACTGAGTTTCTTCGGTAACTCAAACAGGAAGAATAATTGTCAGGTGTTGGTGAACACTGGTGTGTCACCTTTGACACACGTGTCATAGGTTCGCCATCACTGATTTAGACAAAATTACAGAAAACTATTGGGGGGGTTCTGTATGATTTCTAGGTTGGCCAGATCCCAAAAGTTCCTGAATCACACAGGAAAGCTCTGCTGGGTGACATTATAGGACACAGTGAGAGTTTTTTGGGGGAGGGGGTTGCTCTATCACTGCCACAAAGTAAGCTGTGACTTTCCACATGTCTTGGGCAAGTGACATGTTGAGATAGACCCAAGCTTGTCATGATAGCCATAAAATCCTGAGCATACCCAATTAAGGCTGTCCCAGCTTGAATGTTGAAAGGTACCAGAGCTGATATTTATGTATTTATATCTCGTCTTTCAAAGGGAGAGGAGGCCAGTCCGCCTTGCGTTTTGCTCGTTTGAGAATGGAAAAGCGTCACAACTATGTAAGGAAAGTAGCAGAAACTGCTGTGCAGCTGTTCATTTCTGGCGACAAGGTGAACGTGGCTGGTCTCGTATTAGCTGGATCAGCTGATTTCAAAACTGAATTAAGTCAATCAGATATGTTTGATCAGGTAAACAGAAGTAATCTTGCTGATGGTTGTATGTCTTACTAGCAGTTATACATGTAAAGTCTCTCTTATTGATGGTTGTATAGCTTACTAGCATACATCTAAAATTTTACCAGTAGGAAGCTGATATTAGTAACTGAAATATGTGGATATTGGAGCTACATTTACACAATAAAAAACCAGTAACTTTGAGAGTACTAAAGGAAAGGAGCTCACAGATTTTAAAATCTTGGCGATTTGAATTATTATTATGGTTGGTTGCACAGTCAGCCAGATGCTTAGACTGAATTTGGCATTTTTATCCACCTATTAAGTCCTTCCCAAGGACCTAGAATAGGCAAATGTTGTTGAATTATTATTATTAGATGATGTTGAATTATTATTACTATTATTGTTATTTATTTAAAATTGTATGCCACCCAACTCAACAACTCTGGGCGGCTCGCAACAATCAAAGAAATTATAATAAAATCAGTCAAAGATGACAGGCACAATGTCTTAAGAAGAATTTGATTATTCATGAAATGCTGCACAATAAAGAGGCTTCGCATTTAAGCATTGTAGTGATCCAGTTATGAATATGGTTTGGAGGGAGTTCTCATTTTTTAAAACAAAAACGCTGGTTACTTTTTATTTCACTTTATTGAGTAATACTTTTAGATTTTTAATTGTTCATTTATCTAACTTTTCTAATATTAGACCTCTATTTTTGTAGAGGTTGCAATCCAAAGTACTAAAGCTAGTTGACATCTCATATGGTGGTGAAAATGGATTCAATCAAGCAATCGAATTGTCCACTGAGGTCCTGTCTAATGTGAAATTCATTCAAGAAAAGAAGCTAATAGGTATGAAGAAATACACATCCAGTCTTTTCATGCTGCATGCAATATAAATTATAGTCAAATATACAAAAATTGTCACTTAAGTTATGCAAGACAGAAGAAAACAAAGATGTAGTGTTCATATGGTCATCAGTTAATTTAGATAGGAATTATCTTGTCCTTTAGAGATGGTGGTAACAGTTTTCCGCTCTACACTCTTTCAAGTTAGTTAGAGATGTGAACATTCTGAACTAAAAAATATTTTAAGACAACACAGTATTTGATCAGATCATAGCTTCTATTGCATATGCATACTTGTTTTTATATTGGTGCTTCACGATACCTTGAGCTTACTAGAAGAAAATGCTATTGCTTCGGTATTGGTGACTATATGAGTTTACTATGAAAGAACTTGCTACTGACTGAATCAGAGCTCCATGGATAGAGGAACTGATCAATAACCTTCATGCTGCTCACAAAATAGGAGTTTGTTTCCATATCAGGAAGCATTTAGTTTTTCAGGTCAAGTATCAGAGCCTTCCACTTAAACAATACACACAAATGTGTGTGTTATCAAATTTATACCTGCTGCAATCAGGAAACCCTTGGCAGTAGATAAGGAGTTCTTAAGCATATACAATAAAACATCCATGGTACAATTAAAATTCAAAACATAAAACCCAACAGGGCTTCCTACTTACCATAAGCCCTCTGGAATAACTCAATTTTCAAAAACTTCAAAACAGTAGAAGCAGATTTGATTTGTGAGGGAAGGCTATTCCACAAAGTAGATGCTAATACTGAAAGGTGGCACATATAGGCCTCTGCTCCCATACCTCATGGGAGTGAGAGATCACCAGTAGTTCCCTCAGAATGTACAAATCAGGTGGGTTGAATCCAGCTGGATAACTTCATTGCCAAGCCATGTAGGACTTTATAGATGACAACCAGCATTTTGAACTGCACTCAGAGGCTGATAGGAAGCTAATGCAGAGATGTAATATGCTGTTGGGGATGAATGCCAACTACTAATCAGGTCACTGCATTCCCAAGTAATTGAAGTTTCTGAGTAGTGGACTTCATAGGCAGCCCTATCTAGAACATAAGGCAGTGGTACAGACAAGTAGTGATGAGGACATGAGTTAGTATTAATAGGTCCTCCTGTTTCAGAAAGGGACATAACTGGCATAGCAATGAGAGTTGGGCAGAGCCTCTTCTGGCCATGATTTTAACCTGTCCATCAGTCAGTAGCTGCCATTTACAACATCTTGTTTGACCCTGGTGTTGAGGTACTGTTGGGTAACATCAGCATACTCCAAACTGATGGATGACCTTACCCAGTGGCCTCACATAGATATTAAAAAGCAAGGGGAATGTAGCAAGACCTGTAGCATCCTCGTGGACTTAACATCTGGCTGACCTCTCTTCCTATCCCATCTGGAACTATTCAGTAAGAAACGAATGAAACCTTGTAGGACACTGCCTCTAGTCCCCAACTCTTGGGGATACTATGGATACTATGTTCAGTGGTATCAAAGGTCACCAGAAGGGGGGAATTACTTCAGATCATCCACAAGAGTGACCAGTGCTGTGTATCGTGTGCCCAGGTCTGAACCTGGACTGAGGTACTTCCTCTAGAATACCCTGTAGCTGCCCAGCAGCTTCAGTAACCATCCCCACCCACCCAAAAGATGAAACCATAAAAAGTATCTGGTCCAGTAGGTCAGCTAGCCTCATTTTGCTGGTGTGATGAACCTTCATCTTCCTAAACATAATCATCACTATCTCCCTCATGTCGCAGTAATGTAGCTTTCTTGGCCAAATTAATTTGCTTTTGTGCACTGAATTAAAGTAATTATGAAATTTTATAGCATCTCTCTCTGGTTTGCACTAAATGTAGGCCGATACTTTGATGAAATCAGTCAGGACACAGGAAAATACTGTTTTGGTGTTGAAGACACTCTAAAAGCCTTAGAAATGGGAGCAGTAGAAATCCTGATAGTTTATGAGAACCTGGATATAATGAGATATGTACTTCATTGCCAAGGCACAGAAGGTATGTGATTCCCATTGCTTTGCTCTTAGAATTTCAAGAATTATTATTTGTGTGGTTGGATTGTAGGTCACTGTAAACATTCGCATTATTGCTGCTTCCATTAATGAAAATCCATACATCCTGACAGGTATAATTCTTCTAACATTAGTTTTACAAATACACCTAAAATCAGCATCTCAAAAAGCTCATAAATGTACTTAAAATAATATGAATTGTAATAGATGCGTTGTTAGAAAATCCTTTAGATAAAGCAGTAAGATAAGTGCTTAAACATTCACAAGAGATGCTTGTATTTGAATTTACTTGTATGTGTACTCATCAGGTGTGATCTGTGCAGGTACCTCTGATTTTACACTGGTTATGACCAGAACTTGTCTGGTTGGGATAACTACAGTTGTCCTAACGGTTGTAGTTTCATTCTTCTCAGCTGTGGTGTTACATTCATGCAAATGTAACTATGTTGTCTGAGTGCATAGGACAGAAAAAGGGACAATTAACATATTTGCCTTCATCTATATTGAAATCTGGAAAGGAAAAGACTATTTTCCAATAGCAGCCATTATATGTGGCAGCAAGATGAAAAATCTGGAAGGATTGTTATTCTGTTCTTTGACTCATGTTTTCTGTTGTGGGACCCCCTCTATGGTCATCAAGCAATTTCAGTTTGCCTGCTTTTATTTCTATGCTTTTCTTCATGCTTATGCCATGTACAAATCATCATATGCGACATTAACTCTGCATTTTCATAACAATAAATCTCTTCCATTTCATACTTATCTATTGGGTTGCAGCAGCTTCTTCTTGAATAGGCAAGAAAAAAAAACTGTCTTGGAATTTCCGAACCAGTTTAGTTAACAGTGGTGTTCTGGTTTTCCTTCTAGAAATATAGCAGGATACTACTGCCTTCTGTACCAGGCACTGCTTACAAATATGTTGGCTTCTCTTAGATTGCTAAACTGGTGAAGGCAAAGGTGAATGGTTGCTTTCTCCAAGGGGATAACTGATGCTAGCATGATTCCATTTAGCTAGTAATTTTCTCCTGTATCTCCTCTCTTATTTGACAAAACAATATTCTAGCATCTCCTTTATGCTAAAGAAGAGTGTGTGAGATGGGGGTAAAGGTCCATAACTTCTCCCCAAAGTGAATAGATTCTCTAATCTGTGTTCAGTAATGTTTGTTGTAATGCTAATTGGATTATCTGATTTGTCTTTAGGAAATTATGCTATTATGCATGTTATGCTTTTTTCCCTCCTGCAGAAGAGAAGATTCTCTATTTGACACCAGAACAAGAAAAAGATAAATCCCACTTCACAGATAAAGAGGTATTTATCAAAACCATTTTTTCCCTTAATGCTAAGAGCTATTTATGGTGAGCTCATTTTGATGATCTCAGATAAGTCACTATTAATCTACTTCACAGAGAAGAATATGGGGTAGTTCGTGTATTTGTATCCTAAGTGCTTTGAGTATGTGCTGGAATGGACACTAATGTTGTAAAATATTGTGTTTAGAACTCAAGAATACAGGTAATAACAATTCTCCTAGATACTCAAATTAATTGTATGATTATCTGCCTTGCTTAATCTTTCTTCATGATACAGGAGGTTGCTGTTCAGGAAAGGACTGGAAGCACTCTTGCCTAAGCACACTCTTTCTAATGGTCATGCTGTCATATGATCCTTCCAGTTGAGAGCAGTGGTATGAAGCAGTGGGGCCCCTGTGTGCTCCTCATTCTTGCCTTAGTAGGCAAGAGCAAGGACATGAAGCAATGTCCTTGGAATGAATTGTTTTAGAAAGTAATTGCCAGCAGAAAGAGGACCAGCCCAACAGCTGTAATAGCCTTATTGCTGTCCTGTGCCTTCAAAGAATTATCCAGTCTGCTATTATCTCTTATGAAACCCTATTTTTTGACACAACTTTTAGTAGATGCTGCATGTGTTTTGCAGAGTTCCAGGAGAAAAATGGGAAAGTTCTTAACAGGGCCTATGGAGTCTGTAGTGTTGTCTATAAACAAGGGTTTGGCAAAACAGTCATAAATCTAGAATTATTTAAAAAGTTTAGCAAGATAATGGAGACAGTAAAGGAAGGGGAATGGCTTTAGGTTCACAATAACCAGCAAAATGCCCCCCCCCCTTTTTTTGGTCCTTTTGGTCTTTCTCCTCTGACAGTAGTGAGGCACAGCAGTTTCCCCAGGTGGAATTAGCAAGCAGATAATTCTGTGAAGAGGGTGGCTTTTAAATCCTGTTGTTCCAAACCATTTAGGATTCTAAAGGGGATAAGTAATATCCTGAATGGGGCCCTGATACTGGCATATTCATATAACAATAAATGAGATAAGCAGAATAGACTTGCTAAAATTTCACTTTGGTGTAATGATGCTAGGTTCCTACACTATGGAAAGTAAATGAAAGGCATTACACTGGTTATTTTTCCATTGCATACTTTTTTATTTTGGCAACAGAATGCTCTGCCTCTAATGGTGTAAAGACAGATGGTATATTGCCTACTGATTTGAAACATAGCATTGCTGATAATTATTCTTCACATGTCATCTCTTTTAGACTGGACAGGAGCATGAACTCATAGAAAGCATGCCTCTGCTTGAGTGGTTTGCAAACAACTACAAGAAATTTGGAGCCACGTTGGAAATTGTGACAGACAAGTCACAGGAAGGATCCCAGTTTGTGAAAGGATTTGGAGGGATTGGAGGTAAATGGAAAATGAAAACAACAGAGTGCATGATCATTATATGCCCTTCATTGTTGTGTCCCAACTGGCAAGACTGTCAAAATGTCATACAATTTCAATGGAGAATGCTAAAATCCAGTGAAATAATTAACTATTTCAACAAATGATTATTTTGGCACTTGTGCCAAACACTGTTTGCAGTACTCTCCCAGACCACTAATCTTCCCGTTGTTTAATTCTTTGGCATAAATACTGATAATTTGTGTGTTAATTTACTGTTCTATCAATATTTCATCATTTGGAAAACAGTTACAATTTATTAAATACCCACTATAATGAATTACCTGAGATTTGTTTTCAGTGGATGCTTTATGTAGTTTTTCGCTTGATCTTCAAGTTGCATTGACATGCTTTAAGCTCTTCTTGAAGGATTGTTGCTCACAAATAAGCTTGTCTACAGGGGGAAAAAAGAGTGATAGCCTTTTTCAAGAGAGTCCTTGATTTATTTATTGATTAAAGATGATAATATAAATTTGTCCAATGTAAACAATGCAATAAGAATTTAAAGCAAATTACTACATGGAGAATGGTGTGTTCATGATACTTTCATAATTATCCCAATAATTCTGTCAGATCATTTAGGCTTTCTGTAGATCTGATAGCTGACAGGCTTCCTTTTTGAAAGGGTATATTTGCTTGGAAGTAAGTTTCATTGATCTTAATGAGATTTGCTCCAAAATAAGAGTTATTGCTGAGTGCTAAAATAGGTAGTATGTGAATGCTACCTTCTCTGTGTTCTCATTGAAGAAAGCATCTTGGGTTGGTATTAAGGTGCACTGATCAACGTACTAAAGAGATTGAGCAAAATACATTAACAGTATACTAAGAAATGACAGCAAGAAAAAAGGTTAGTATTAGGTGAGACATCAGTGGGCTGAATGTGTGAATATGTGATATGAAACCAGCATTGGGGTTTGTAAGCTTACCACTGTTTATGAACTAAGACTGTTATGGTTTAGCATAACCCTGCTGCTCTAACCAGGAAGAAGATTGCCACATCATCTGCTCTTACTGATTATGACAATGTTATCATTCCCTGTTCCATCCACCATGGATGCCAGATATTCTCTGAATTAGGAATGATGGGTAGAAATATGTGGTGGGTAGAAGAAAAAATGCAAATATCTCCTATCTTGTGTAAAGAGAGATGTGAAAAATTTGTGTGTCGACATCTCCAGTAATACTATTTAACATAGGCAATATTTCACAGTGCATTAGTTGGCACAGTATTTGTCCACAGTAAGTATTTAAAGAATGTTTTCAATCATTTGCTACTTTTATGAGAATTGTTATGTATTTATTCCTCTATACTCCTACATTTTTGGCCGCATATATGCCGTTCAAAGTGGAACCAGATTACAGCTATTTTAGATTACACTTTAGTCTGAAATCAGTTTGCCCTGGGATTACTTGCTTGTCTGTCCCAGGTTAGACTTATTCCTCACCAGTTCTGTCCTGTCTCACTGAGCTGCTTTGTTTCAGCATATGCCTATTCCTGCCTTATAGCTTTAACATCTTTCCCAGATGTGGCAAATGAAGTTCGCAAATACACTGTCATTGAATTTTTTAAATATAATTGAAACAGAGGTGGATCAGAAAATCCAGGACATTTTGGTTTAAACTGAAATGAAATGCTGTGGAGTGTTGCAAACCAACACATCTTAGATGTTCTCTAACATGAATTCTTAGTGGCAAACATGTTTGAAGCCAACAAGTTAAATTGAGATTTTCTCTATAAGGTTTAAATCAGTGCACCCTAATATGAATAAAAAATGTTCAATACTAGTGGGAAGGAAATATATTCCAGTTCAGTACTTTGGTACCAGAAAACAGTTTTTTGTGCTGAGTGTACTTCATAAATATGAAGTATTTGTAATGTCTTCCCTTTAACATTTATTTCCAAAGGTATCTTGCGGTACCGAGTGGACTTCCAGGGAATGGAATACCAAGGAGGAGATGATGAATTTTTTGACCTTGATGACTACTAGGTAGTCGGCCTGGGTCTGGCAAATGTGCCTCACCCCTCCAGCATCCAACCCAAGGAGAAAACTCATGATGGAAAACAAAACAGATCCCTGCCTTAGAATTGGAGTATTTCCAGAACTTTATCCAGAACATCGGGTTTCAAAAAAAGAAAGAGAAAGAAAGCAAACCCTACTGATTTGTCATAGTGTCAGTACAGCAGCACTCTACTAGGTTTCTATAATGCCATTTGGACTAATTAAAAAAATCCCAGTTTTTACTTTTACTTAATGGTGAAATTGGTTGCTCTTGTATTTTATGAAAATGATTTTTTTAACCTTCAGCTACATTAACTGCTCTCAACCTTCATTTGAAACAAAATAATTATACTGGTTTGTTTCTTACTTTGATAGGAGGAAATTTATTGCTGCTTTTTGCAGTGATACGACCCATTTACATGGCGTTCTTGGCTTAGATTGCAGAAGAACCATCTTAGGGAGACCTTGTTCCTATTGTTCCCAGTCTACAGTGGTGGAAGTAAAAGGAATTAAACTCTCTGCTGTGCCAGCTTTGAAAGGTGTGACTTTAAAATTGGGAAGTCCACCTGTTTCATTCTTAGACTGCAAAAACACTGTTTGTATAAATCAGGAAGTGTGTTTCATTAAAGAAAATTGAAGTGCCAGGGTCTCAGCAGGCTTAACCGGGATTATGAGTTGTGTGGCCTTCACTCTTCCCTTTTGTCAGTCAATAAACAGTTTCCACAAGCAAGCTAATACTGCTTACGCTTGGTTCTGTACTTTACTAGGTTTTTTTTTTTATGTTTTGCTTTGGGACTGCATAAGCTGCCTTGGTGAATCAACAGCAAACATTCACAAACTGCTTCAAAATGCAATTATCTAGCAAAATGTGACCGACATAAGCCTTGGAACTGGTGGCTATGGAGCTTCTGTAGAAATAAGTAACTTTTTTTTTAGAAGTTAGGCACCAAAGATTCACATTCAACACTATGGCAGTTAGCTCACTTTCCTGCATTCCCCTAGGACTGGCTGATTTTCTAAAGGTACTCTGATATTTTTGCCTAGCTCCGTTCTCATTTTCCTTATCATTCTTATGTTGGTCAAAAACTCCCAACCTGCGAACATTGTATATCGTTCCAAATCCTGCCTCACTTGAATTGAAGGGAGAGTTGTCTTAACTAAGCCTTCTCATCACAGTATATACTTAAAAGAGGTCCAAAATGACTTTCTGTCAATGTGAGCAATAGAATTTGTATCTTTTTATAACTTGGCAAGCAGGCAATGCATGTGTTTGCCTACAGGAAGTTTTCACATTGGGTGGAATCTCTTAGGGAAGCTCTTTATGATTATGAATATTCAGACTGATTTGCAGAAATTGTGATCACAAGCATCCTTAAGCTCTTCAAAGCAACATACTTTGATTTTGCCATTGTAAATGGGTCTGCTATGACATGACAAGAGCAGAAAAATTGGGTGTAAATTTAGAGTTTTGAATATACTGCTTGTTTCACATTTAGGGTATGCAGCTCCTTTTTTTGGTAGTTTTATTTTTACTATTTAAGTTTGGAAATGATGCCAAAATTTTGTATCTCTTTAATCAATGTGTGATCTCTGGTGGTATATATTGCATTATATATTGATGTATATATCAATATATACTGATATGTATTACACTTACACAAACACATTAAAAGGGTGAGAATCCTAGCCTTTTGCATACTACGTAGCCTCTTCAGAGAGCTCCCAAGCAGTGATATCTTGGTGTTGTGATGTACAGAAATGGAGAAGAGTATTAAACCATATTTAAGAATATATACTGGATCCTTGACTTTATTTTACTTCGGGAGGGTTGCAGCATTGCTTGCTGCTCATCAAATTGCTTTGGTTTTGAATAGAACACTTAACTCTTTTCAAACATGTAACCAGCACCTAATCCTAAACACTGACATGGATAAATAGCAGAGGTGCTTTAAATCACCATTTTATTTCTTGCAACATAGCTCAGTTCCCATAAATTTGGATTTTATCTCAGGAGTAAATATTTCTTAAAAGGTACTTTGGTTGTTTAATCCTTCAATCTTAATAACCATTCTTAATGTGCCACAAGTGTCTTAACGGTTTTGATGCAATAGCACAAACTTTTTTTGGGAACTAAAAGTATGAGGTGTACAGCTTTAACTATATTATTCTCCATCATTACTGTGGTTTCTTGCTCAGGGTTGACATATTTCTAATCCTTTGCTTGTTAGGCAAGGAATTATTGCAGTGTCAATGCAAAAGCCTGAAAATTAAAATAAAAGTACAGTCCTTTGTCAGAGCATTCCTGCATGCTTAAGAATTTGCATTATTCATATTTACAAGCAGGAAGATGTACCATATCCACAGCTGTAACTTGGCCCTGATAATTTTTAAATTAGCTAAACATCTTTAATCACAGATATGGGTAGTCTTATTTGAAGTGTTCCAAGTTCCCCACCCCAGTTCTACTTGTGGACAAGAAGTGTTAGCAGTATTTTTATGTTTGGTGGGGGAAATACTTGTATACCAACTATTAGGAAAACTGGATGGGAAATGTCCCAAAAGATGCGAGGACTATGCAGGCTTTGAAAATTATTTGGAAGAAGTATCTTTGGACCTCATGCAAATACTGTACAGCACCCCTCTTGTATTCATAGAAAGGACCTGACTTTTACTGGCAGCTGCTTTTAAGAGTTCCAGCCTAAATGGTTATGGCTCCCATCAGGCTCACCTAGAAGTCTGAAATGAAATGGGTTCTTGTGTTAAGAGAGGGACTGGGCTTGCTGCAAGGTCCAAAGCACTTCTGAATCATTCTTGAATGGTAGATAGCCATATTAAAAATCAGAGCCTCCAATTTTGAAGCCTCAACTGGAAAAGTCAATGGTTTGGGGAAAATGATGAGAAATCAGCAGTGGCTATTAACAGCGCTCATATTTCCGGAGTTGGCTGACAGTATTTAGTTGCTTGTTCTTTCATGCTCACACCAGGCAGGTGAAAGCAAGTTATTACTTCAATTTTGTCTTTAAACACTGATGAAAATAATCCTGCTAATTATAAAGAGCTATTACATTGATTTTGCTGCATTTTACTATCATTTTTAATCCTCTGTCACATTGCTAGGCCATAAACCATTGGCCAGGATTTGGAGTATTGGCATGTGTTTATTTACTTAGGCTTCTAGGCTGCTCCAATCATCCAGACTGAGCAGTTTGCAATACCATATAAAGTAATTTAATATGGCGTAATAGGCTGTTTATCAGATCTGACTAAAATATTTGCAAGATGCAGCAAGGTAATTTCAAACAGATTTTTGTGAATGCAGGATGGAGCAAACGGTTCTGAGTTTGCTTCATTTTGATTCTTCACACAGCTCTGTTCCAGGGCTAATTTTCATGAACTCCATTCACAGGAAGGTGTGCCCTCAAATCAATGATTCCTGTGATTAAAACATTGGTTGCCTCAATCATAGCATCTTGGGACTCACACCCAATCTTGGGGGCAGGATCTGAAAACAGTGTTCATCTAATGTCTGCTCTACCTCAAGATTGCCTAATCTCTCCTGAGCTTTGTATCTGTTTTGTGAGTGCTGGTAGTTGGTCTGACTTACGAATTCATTCAATGCTGTGAATCATCCAAAGGAGTATCAGTAAATTAATTCCTTATACTTCCACCTTAAACATCAACTACCTGCATTACATTTAGGATAGTGTTTCGTTCATTACAAACAAAAACCACACTCATACCCATCTCAAATTTTGCAAGGTTATTCCCCATTTTAGGACTACTATTGTTACAAACTTCATTTTTACGGGCGCTTTAAAATGGTATGAAAAATCTCATACCAATATCTATGAAACTTAGTGTGCTTCCTTCTGTCATAACGGTCTACCTTGCCTACATTTAACCCTAAAAACAACTGCATCCATTTAGTGTTTTCTGTGCTAAAGTATAGGACAACAGAGATCCACTTTCCTTAATTTCATTCTGGATCTGGCATTGAGTCAGACTGGACTGGATCTGGTGCTGTACTGAGCAGAGGATAGGGCTTGGTGGCCCCCTCTTCCAATGATCTGGACCAGAAAGGAACCTTTACCAGCTGCAGCTTGGGATAAGGTGAGTAGAAGGCTGCTGAAAAGTGGGGTAGAGTAAGAACATAGTTGTCCCTACTGCCTAACTAATCGAGGCAGTATATTAAAGTTCTAAAAATCATGTCATAGATCTGAAAATGATACTGCCTTCCAGTATGAATGGCAATTCTAGCATTCTGCAAAAAGACTTGCCCAACAGCAGTGGGAAATACAGGCTGCTCAATAACTTTATGTTCCTTTGGTTTAGAATATACACTACAGTAACTTTACAAAAAAAAAAATGTTACAGTAGTGTATACTCTAAGCCAAAGGAACATAGTTATGGAACAGCCTGTTTTTTCAGTTGTTTTTTTTTTATTCCTGGCGGCTGCCTGAACTACTCCCTGCAGTTTTCTTGGCAAGGTATTTTGGAAGTGTTTTGCCATTGCCTTCCTCCAAGGGCTGAGAGAGAGGGACTGGCCCAAGGTCACCCAACTGGCTTTGTGCCTAAGTGGGGACTAGAACTTATGGACTCCCAGTTTATAGCCTGGTGCCTTAACCAGTACACCAGATTGGCTCTCAACCTCTTGTATTGGCTTTGGGAAAATAAAGGAACTCACATCTGAGCCTTTTTCCTCGTTGAGAATCTGAAAATAAGGCAAAATGCCATATCATAGTGGTAGGGTTATGATGGATGGCAATTTACATTTACTCAGCAGCCCTGACTGCTTTCTGAAGGAAGGGCCACATTGTTAACTTGGAGCCAGATGTTTGTGGGAGAAGGGCAGAGTGAATGGAAATGGGAGTATTTGGGCCTGTTTTCCAAATGGCATGGTTTACTGATTCAAGCATCCTTTTCCAGAAAAAGCATCCATGTTCTGATGGGAGAGAATGGACAATAACATAAAACGTGCCAGAAGGTACAAGAGAGTGAAACCAACTGCAATGATCCCAACTACCCCGTTTCCTTGCAGAACCCCCTGCACTGGCCTCAACAGCAGGGCAGTTCTTTGTGACTGCCTAAATATTGTTGGATGTTTTTTCCAATTTTGGGAAAAGTTGTTCTTAGTCAGGTCAAAAGACCTATACCATATAAAGATCTTGTAAAGGAACTACTTCCAATGACTTCATCCTGACTCCCATTCAAATGGAGTACCAGAATCAAAAAAAGATATTTTGGAACAATTCTCTTCACCAAATCAACCAATAGGGATCCATTCAGGGGTTGACCATCAAAGGATAATTATTTTTATCTGTAGCAGTTACTACGGTTTGCCAGCACTTTGGGCTTTGAGCTATATGAGACTGCCCTTGAAGAGTATCAGGAAGCTACAACTGGTGCAAAATGTGGCAATGTAGGCAGTTATGTGTGCTCCCAGATCAGCACTACACAAGCTGCACTGGTTGCCAGTTTGCTTCCGTGTTCAATTCAAGGTGCTGGTAATGACCTATACGTGCTTAGGGTTGTTTTTGTTTGAGAACATATATTCTGTTATGGTAGACAAAACATAAAATTTATCCTGATCTTTGTAGTATGACTTAATAGAAGGCAAGCCAAGTGTAAAAATTATGTACCCTTTCTTGCACAGGTTTGGTGTCTCTTTTATTCAGGTGTGGGAGAATAGCGAGCAAATACTTATTATTTCTTGCTGCTCAGACTTATTTCTGATCCCCTGGGTCAGATAGTTGCCACAGACACAGGTGACTTCCTGCAAACTTTTTGTTTAAGCGTGGAAAGAGATGCACATATGGTTTACACACCAGTGCAAAGTTTGAAAAATGGACTGTCCCCCATCCTTAGTATTAACTTTATACTGAGCAGCAGCAACCAAAGAACTCTTACAAAGATACATGTATTTTGGGCAGTAAGAATTCAATTTAAAGTCTAAAAAAGGGCAGAATTGGATTTTAAAGAACCAAAGGAGCAAGTGGATTGGATCTGGTTGAGGTCAGTGAGACTTTTGAGCAAGGCATTAAGAATCCACACTTTAAATGCTGTATTTTTATCATCTCTTTGGAACGATGGGGGGTGGGAGAATAGTTATAAAAAAATCATCCTTAGTGATTTGCTTTATATGTAACCAACGTCACCAAAAACCCTATCTGGTGTGTTAGGGTGAGAACTAATAACAGGTCCATGGTCATGACTGAACAGGAATGCAAATGTGACTCTTCCATTCAACCAATAAAGTCATTAGCTAAGGATAAGTTTTAAAAAATGCTGAGGATGCTTCTAATTTCTTTTTCCTGTTCTGCTCTGATATCCAGAGAAGAGCAAGTGGAATCTGTCTCCAGGTGACTCAACTGATAAAAACAAAAACATGATTAGCAGTCTGGGAGCAAGAATCACAACTATGGATATTAATGGATGTTTGAAAATGTTATCAGATAATTAATTTACTGATGCTCAGACCAAATAGGGTCTCCTATTACTATCTTCCTGTCAATTTGCATGTCAGAACTTGCTGGGAAGTGCAATTATTCCAGGAACCCATTGTTTATTTATTACATTTTTAAGCAGCATTTTTTTCTTCCTCCAGAGGCACATACAGTAGATAAGTTACATGTAGGCCAGCCCTATCATTACGTGAGGCAATTGCCTCACACACTGAAAACTGTTCTGTGGTCAACATTTCTTGTCCAGTCTGTGCTCTGGTTTACTCACAGAGCAGGCTGAAGTATCTAGCCTCCAACATGATAGAGTGGACTATTCCATTTAAATGACAA